CCCATTCCCTTAATCTGAAAAGATTAAACAAGTGGATTTGCAAAGATCTACTTACATTTTCATGAATTGACGGCTTACGTGGAAAATTTCATTCATTCTTGTGTATGATGGAATGATTCTCATTTCATCATAAGGGGGAGTATGTAATAATGAATGAAATATTCATTTTCAAACATTTTAAAGGGATTCTGATGTAAAGATCAAGGGGGAGTAACTTCAAATTTGACAAAAGACTCAAAAGAAGTGCGACTGGAAATGATTCCAAAAGATTATTCCGATGCTACAACGACTGAGAGTTTTTGAATGAGAAGATCAATGTTTCAAAAGTTTACCAAATAGAAAGTTTGTGGTTTGTTGTCTGAAGATCCTTTGAAGATCACATCTTGTACATTGTTTCTGATGATTACTGTTTTACATTTTCAAAAGAGAAGATCATCGCTGTTCTACATTCGAGTGGGAGAATGTTAGAAGATCTTTCTCAACAAACGATTGCCTGAAGATTCCTAGTTGAAGTTTGTTTTTGAAGATGACATAATGTGCTTAAAGTTTCAAAGTTCAAACAGGACTTAAAGCGCGGAATTTCTTTCAAGTCTGAATACAAAGGGGGAGAATGTTAGGACTGAAAATCAGTATTAAATTGTATTCGTCTTGAAAGTTAAATATTGTCTATAATTGTAAAAGTCATCGTGTTTGACTTTTCTGTAAAGTTTGACTTTGACTAGGACTTTAATGTTTGACCCTATAAATAAGGTGTTAGTCTTTGTAATCTTGAGGAGCTCATTTGTAAAAATCTGATTACATATAGAAGGTTTGACCAAGTTTTGAAGTTTGACTTTTCCTCTCAAACTCTCTCATCTCTCCTCTCATGTTCTTCAAGGTTAAAATCTTATCTATCAGGGATTCATTGAAGATATATTGAAGATTGATCATTATAGGGACACACAATACACATTAATGTACAGAAACTCTCATATTAACATGATCAAATATACCAAATTTATCATGCCATCACATAAGCACGTAATAAATAATCACGTATTAATTATCTCATGTGATAACCAGGACCCGGTTATTACAACCTTTGCCCACAATCGGACAGTCTTCCACGAGTATACAGTAGAAAGATTCCATGGGCATATCTTCACCTTCACGGATTGCGATCTTATAAATCTGAATCCCTGGGATCTGCTGTCTCTGTATTTCTTCACGGACCACAAGCGAGACAAAGTTATGAAGTATGCTCTGGCTAACTCCGTGATACGGCAAACAATGACGGACCTTCTTGACTACCGTAGTAAGCTCGACTTCCAAATTGCTATGGATCTGGGGATAAACCAGCTTAGTCTCAGTGCGCCTAACGAAGACTTTGAAGGCATTAAGCATATCCCCTCTTGAACGGTGTTGGTGGAGCCAAAACACGAGGTGGTCTTCAGGAATGAACAAGGCAAAATGGTGTTCTTCCGTGAGGACCATCGCTTCAAGTACTCTAATTCAACTCTATGATACATCAAGAACAATCTTTTAAGAAGCAGAGATACAACCCCTGGTGCAAAGGAGAGGACGAGCAACCTAGTCAGACTTTCTGAGTATTCTACTCCCGTGGATTGGGCGCTCGGTTCAGACTTTCCCGCAAGACTCCTAACAGAATCTAAAACACTTGACTTAGTCCGCTCCACTTTCCATGGAACGTGAACGATAAGAACGCGGAACAAGAACTTAGAGTTCCAAGCCAAGATTCTAGGAAATTCTGATTTAGTTTAGTCGTATAAAAGGAGGCATCCTCCTCAGGTTACAAGTTACCTGAAAGTGTCAAATTAGACTACGCTCTAGAATAGAGAATTCTTGTGAGAATACGATTAGACTGAGAGTTTTATTGTTACTACTTCTCATCTAATAAAAGCTTCTGACTTATTCAAGTCTGTTTTACATTCTTATGTTTATCTTGAATATTTTGTTAGACCATTTCAGTTATACAGTTACCATTCTACTCATACTTCGATTTTATTGTGTTTTCTGTAATTAAGAGAAATCTGGGTTTCAATACAACGGTCATCTTTTCCGGCCCTCCTTCAGTCGTCTTCTCGGGCTACAAATAACACAGAGATCTCTCACACACATAACATAAAACTCAACCTAAACCCATTTTTAAAGGACAAAATCAACAAGAAAACTTATTTTTGAATAATAAAATGAAACCAAATCCAGTTTTTGAAGAACAAATCAACAAGCCCAATTACTTTACCTCCTTTTGTTCAGATCTGCGTTTTTCATCATTAATTTTCCATCTTTCTTAACTGAAAGAAAGAACCATAAATAAATCAAGAACACAAAAGATATTAAATTCATCAAGAAGGGAACAACATCAAGAATCCTAAATCTAAATCGAAAGCCTTTAAAATACATTCCAAATCAAAAAACCCATAACCAGAATCTTGAAATACAAAACCCAAAAAAATCATGAAGTGCTAAGAATTGAAGAATTTGCTAAGTTCACATTATTATTGAAAGCAAAGTATAGGCTTTTTAGAGCCATTACAAAAACACAGAGAAGAAGAAAAGACCCTACTGCACATAATCTACAAAGTGGGTTCTCCTAGAAAAACTAAGGACAAAGCACATGATATCCAATTAAAAGAAGATGGGGTTTTAACCTTCGATTCTCATCGAGTTTTGAATGTTTTCTTCAACCAAAGATTCGAAACATTTCATCTTAATCTTTTCCAAAGGCAGGAGAGTCGATGTCTGGTGAAAAGAAACCTATCGAAGATCACTATCTACATCTTTGTTCAGACACACGCACACAAACCCAATGAAGATCTGAGGTGTTCAAATCTGGGTTCAGTAGAGATGGAGTCTAAGCAGTGGTGGGTATTGGGTTCGATGAAGATTGAGTCTCAACAAACGGTGGTCGTTGGCTTGGATGGAGATAGTCTCATAGTGGTGGCCATTGTTGTTCGAGTTTTCTGGTAATCGATGGTGTAGGGAGGACATATAAGGAACGATGAGGGATTTATCGTGGTGGACGGAAAACTAGAGGTGTCAGACAAATGATGAACGTGAAGATATGGCCAAAGACGGGGAAGTCGGTGGTGGCAGATGATGCTGGAAATGAGGGGAGGATGTGTATGGTGAATTTGTGATTTAGATATACTAGAAGGGTACTCGTGTAATGCAACGAGATACATCTTGATTTTAATATTTTGTTTTATTCGTTATCTTAGTTGATTTTATAATATAGTCTTATGTGATTTTGAAAAAATGATAATGTTTTTATTTTTAAATAAAATATAAATTTAAAAATATTATAAAAATTTGATAAAAATATGTMGATATTAGTATCAAATTAACTATTTTAAATTTCTTATTTTTTGTGTAATTTTTTATTATAATTTAATTTAAGTTCAATAACGAAGTAATTTATATTTGGTTTGATAATATAATTTTTTTATAAAGATAATAGTTAATTATTTTGTTAAAACTCGATAATTATCCTAATTATATTTTAGATTTTTTATATTTTAAAATGAGATTTTATCATCTATTTGATTATGTTTATCCGCAGTTAGTTACATAAATTCAAACATGGAGCTTTAATAAGTTGTACTTACGTACAATTTACTTGTAATCTTGAATTTTAAGTAATATGTATCAATAAACAGTACTTTATGCATAAAAAATGGTTTTTAAGTGTTTCTGTCAAATGCTTTATAATATAGTATAGATATCTATACTTCTATATAACATTAATTATGTAAAATTTTAAAAAAGAAAATTGCAAAAAAAAAAAAAAAAGGATATCACCCCTAACTTAACATTGCACCAGTTGGATGGTTATTTTTAAACATATTACATGCCATACTCTTTGTTTGTTATATAAGTAAATAATCGGTGTCATTAATTATTATTTACATATGACTCATTATATATATATATATATATATTTTTTTTAGTATCATTAAATGATCATTATTTGGTTATTATCATTTATATAACACTCATTATATTTTTTAATATTATTAAATGGTCATTATTGGTTATTATTTTTTACATAACACTCCTTTTATACATATATATATATATATATATATATATATATTTAAAAACAATATATGTACTAAATGATCAGTCATATGAGTTTCAATCATTTTTTTAGCATATCAAATTTACATAAAATTATTAAAATCTTTTCTTTGATAACTTTGTAACGAGAAACCAAACTATGAAAAAATAATCTTAGGAAGATAAAAAAAACTCGAACAAGTCAAATGAAAAATTAAACAATTCAATTGGATTAACCTATATCCAAGGTGGTCACAATACTAGCGACTACTGTTGCTCTTCGTGCATTGTAGACTGGGAAAGGGGAGGTTTCGAGGAGGGTTTTTGGATGAAGTTGCAAACGAGTACATTAGAACATATGTAAGTAAATTATAAAAATATATGCAATATTATATACAAAAATGGGTAACAATATCTCATTTGTGTGGTGCATGTAAATATTTTATGGAAATATATGTATGGATAAATTGATATATTTATGACAAGACTTTATGTATTATCCACCTCATTGTTATAATCAATAGTCTCAAACATTTTTTTTATCATTTTGATTCAATTACAAAGTTTGATGTATGAAAAGATTAATATGTGTGTGTGTGTATATATATATATATAAATTATTATTTAATGATATATATAAAAAACGATCGAGGATGATGAGGTGACTTTATATCTAGTATAATATCTATTCCTATTAGTTTAATATTGATTTGTGACCATCGATCCATTTAACTTCAATATTTTCTAAAAAAGTTTATTGATCGTGCAATGTGTAATGCCGAACACTAGTTTATAGCATAAAAATAAATAGAAAGTGTATTTAATCCGTTTTCCGATTTATCCGATTGGGAGAGAGATTATAGCATTGAATGCGTTGCACCAACATCTACCGGTTCCTCATAAATGTCCACACCAGAAAACCAAGTCACCATTGAAGAGTTAGACGGTGGTGGTGGTAGACGGGTGAGTATTAATTTCTTCAATTAAAGACATAACTTCGATATCAACTTTTCAATAATTAATTTTATATTCCAAAATTCCATAAAATATTTCTCATATACATGGTGATATTGTATTATTGTTCAGGTATTGATTTTACACGATTCATGGAATTATTTTCTAAGACGATACCATTTTAAAAAAAATGAATATTTTGGTTTAACTGATATAGATACTTATTTATTACTGTCTTTATGTTAAATAGTAAAATAATGAAAATTTAGAAAAGTGAACTCGACTTTTGATATAGTTAATGTTTAGGCGCGGTTTGGTAAAAATAAGTTATGTACATATTTGAATGTACATAAGCTAATTTATAGAAATACTATTTGAAGTAGTAGTGTTTGGTAACTTATTGTAACTTTTTCTAATTATAACACTTATTAATTTTAATTACCATTAATTATAAATAAATATTAATAAGATCTAAGTATTACTAACATTAAT